GATATGAGAAACATTACCACTGCAATGTACCTGATGACTTTATATCCATGCTCAGTTGCCAAGGATCTCAGAAAGTAACCGACTATGATTAGTAATAATCAGATATATAGAGATTAGAAATGCATGTGCAAACATCTTAGTGTCAATTGCATTAAAAATGAATTTTTCTGTATGAAACTGTATATTTTAATAATGAAATGGAGATCTTTTTTAAAAGTTCAAACTTCATTTATTTTTATGTCTTATAGGATTTATACTGAGTACAATATTGTATAACTGTATTAATTCAACTGTAAACCTAAAAATTTACAGCCAATTTTGAAAGAGATGCATCTTAGCTCAGGAAATTGTTATTGAATATATCAATGCTATTGTAATAAAATGCTTCTTCTAATTATGTGGTTATTAAATAAAAAAAAATTTAATTTTAAAAAATCACATGGAATGTAAAAAAAAAAATTCTCACCTTGGATCCTCAAAATTCTGACTTCTATTATCCACACCTAAAGCTAAATAACTGAGACATACTAATGCTATTAGAGCATTTAAGCCTCCACAAATTTTATGCCTATTTGTTATTTCTTTTTTTTTAACTTTAAAAAAAATTATTGAGATTTTCATACAGGCATATAAAGTATTTTGATCAAATCCATGCCCTCTCCCTCCCCTCCACCTCCTCCTATATCTCCCCATCACATTTTCCTGACAACTTCATGTACTCTTTCTTTTTTTTTTACTGGAGCTTTTTGCTACTCTAACATTCCTCCCCTCTGAAGAGGTAACCCTAAAATCTTTAGATACAAGCTCCCACATACTTTTGACATTTTTGGCCTTCAGAACAGAGTATGTTGCTAAAAGACCCAAAGACATTTTGACTTTTAGCCAAGAAAATGGCTACTTTTCTTTTGGGTCTTTTTACCCTAACTGCCTAGCCAATTCCTACCTCCTATTCTTATCACACCATCCTCTGAAGAGGTTACCCAAATTGCCGATGGGGAATTGGCACACAGGCCACTCTGGCTTCTTCCATGCTGAACAGGGACGCAAGGTGAGGCAATTGGAGTATCCTTTCAGTGGGTCTATCTAAAGACTCCCAAATTGCATAACTCTGAACTGTAAGGAGAAAAACTCCAACAGCTATTAAAGTGCCTGAAAGCAAATCCTGAATCCATCACTCTAGAGTCCAGCCTTGGCAGACAAAAGAAAAATGAGGAGGAACCCAATAGAGGGATGCTTTTGGAAGCTCTCGTCCCAAATTGCATAACTCTGAACTGTAAGGAGGAAAAACTCCAACAGCTATTAAAGTGCCTGAAAGCAAATCCTGAATCCATCACTCTAGAGTCCAGCCTTGGCAGACAAAAGAAAAATGAGGAGGAACCCAATAGAGGGATGCTTTTGGAAGCTCTCGTCAAGAAATCCCAGTGGACTCTGATATGAACATCTGAAATTTGTCCAGTTCTGACTGTTTTCTGGTTCCCTCTCTAGAACTTGTAATGCTAACTACTCTTGCCTTTACTTCTCCTTCACATCTCCTAGGCCTATTAGTTATTTCTTAACTTCAAGATCTCAAGCACCCCAAAATACAGAAGTGCCACCGGCTTCTCTCACTCTGTGACAGATGTAAAGAAGCTGTTCAAGCATGCAGCAGAACAGAGAACAAAGCAGGAAGGCAAAGAAGAGACGGCAAGCAGAAAAGTCATGCCTCAGCCAACCACAATCTGAGCACTAGGCACACATCCTCTGCTGCTGCTGTGCACACAGCTCTGCTCTGCAGCAACTGTCATGATTTTCACCTCCTGAAAACACAGGCCTTTCTGTAAATAATGATAACAGTAATGCCTATTCTATTATAAAATGAACTATTTGAAGATGACTACAGGAGGCTGAGCACAGCAGGCATGGGTCCTCACACCATGTTCATGAGCACGATGAGCTGGGGCTGACTTCTGCGACAGCAGCAGGACCATCGGAAACAATCAAGCCAAGATGGAAGTTCATCTCCCCGCACATTCTTTAGCATGACACTCAGTCAAAGACTAATGAGCAGCAATGTTTGCTGCCTAGAAGAACTAAGATACAAATGTGGTGGTATCCCCTTCAAGCAAACAGACATATGAAAAATCTGCATTTATACAAATAAATAAGGTACTATCAATTGTGCCTCCAGAGAGTTCCTTTTTAAAAAAATTCTCCAATCATTATTTGGCAAATACTTATAATTTCAAGTTATGAGACTTACAAAAATGTGTTTAAAAATATCAAAAAAAAATTGTCACTTGGTGGGTATGCATACGCACACACACATACACACACACACACAAATAACAATAATAAATTTTATTTCATTTTTATTTAATTATTTATTTATTATTAAATATTTATTTAATTATTTAATTATTATTTAAATTTTAAATTTAAAGGTATCAATAATTTAAGCCATGTTTTTTTAAACCAGATAATATTCTATTTATAGCTGAGAAAAAGAGTGAGTCAAAAACATTTCTTTCTTAAGGAAATGGGTACAGAACACGCAGCTTGGTTGCAGAATACGAAATGAGACTGCAATGCTGTAACGTGCTGGTAGGTGCACAGACACGTCTGTGTGCTGTAACATGCCAGTAAACATGAAGAGACATGTCTGTGTGCTGTAACGTACTGGTAAACATGAAGAGACATGTCTGTGTACTGTAACATGCTGGTAAGCACACATAGACATGTCTGTGTGCTGTAACATGCTGTTAAGGATGAAGAGACATGTCTGTGTGCTGACACACTGCAAGGTCACATTATTTAACTGGATCACAATAACAAAACTACAAAATCCAGTGGTGTAATCAGGCCTGAACATAAGGTAATATTTCAAAAGAGAAGAATAATGGAGAGGAATAATTCTCTCCCTCTGAAATGGAAACACAGACATAAGCCAGTCACCTGGAGGACACAGCATCCCAGTCCTGGCCATCTCCTCGGGGCCGCTGGCCTGTGCGCCCAACCACAGAAGGCCGAGGGCTGCTGCTTCCGGGAGATGGATTTGGGGAATGGTGAGTACCTCTTGCTTCATGACAGTAAGACAAAGAAGAATTCTGGGAAATTGTGTCTGCAGAAATAGAGAAATACAGTTACCCTTAATAGATACAGTTTTGATCATACAGATTCTATTGCTAGTCTTCAAAAGAAATGAACTAGTCAGAAATGCTTCTGCAGGGCAAAAATAAAAAAGATTGACGTTCCCAAGAGTCACACAGCACACTCCTGATCTAACTATAAGGAACGTTCTAGTCAATGACAGCTCTTCCAACAGCACAGACCATGGAGCAGAGAAACATTCCAGCACATGGCTTTAAACCTTCGAAACACTCCTACCTCAAATAATACACAAAGATTATAAGAATGGACCAGCTCTAAATACAAGCTAAATCCATAACCCCCTCCCAGTAAATAAATGAAAATCTTCATGGCCATGAGTTCTTAGGTAGGAAAGAATAAACAATTGAAGAAAATGATAAACCAGTTGTACTGGATAGCTTTAGTGTCAACTTGACACACCTGGGTTGAGGGAGCCTCAACTAGGGAATTGCCTCCATTGGCCTGTGGCCATATCTGTGGGGCATTTTCTTGATTGTTGAGTATTGTGGGAGGGCCCAGCCACTGTGGGTAGTGCCACCCCTGGGCAGGTGGGCCTGTGTTGGATAAGAGCTGAGCAGGGGGCCAGGGGAAAGCAGCGTTCCTCCATGGCCTGTGCTCCAGCTCCTGCTTCCAGGTTCCTGCCCTGAGCTCCTATCTTGGGCTCCCTGATGAACTGTGACCTTTCCTCCCCAAAATTGGTATTGGTCAGTGTTTTGTCACAGCAATGGAGAAACAAACTAAGGAAATTACAATAAAATGAAAAGACAGAGTGGGAAAAGTATTTCAAATTATATATCTGGTTTAATATTCCAAATATATTAATAATGCCCAAAACACAATGGTAAAGAAATAGGCAACCCAAATGAAAGATGGGTGAGGACTTAATGGACATTTCTCCAAAGAAGATCCACAAAGACAGCAAGCACGTGGACATCACAGTGAATCTTCCATTCACTGTTAGTGCTTGGAGATGCAAATCAAAACCACAATGATAAACAACTTCGTGGCTATCAGGACAGTTATGTTCCAAACAGAATACATGGAAATGAGCAACCAATGTGTCAGAGGCTTCATGCAGGGCTGGTAGGTGTGTAAAGACATGAAGTCACTATGAAAAATGGTTTAAAAAAAAAAAAAAAAAAAAAGCCTGGCACAGCTTTAGTTCCAGCACTTGGGAGGCAGAGGCAGGTGAAAAAAAAAAAAGAAGAAAAATGGTTGAGCAGTTTTTCAAGAAGCTAAATAAGAACTGGCATATGATAGTCAACAATTCCACTCCTAGATATAAGACAAAGAACTCAAAATGGGCTTAAACACATTCTTGTGGGTCAATGTTGTCTGAAGCATTATTCAAAATAGACAAATGGGACATACAATACACATACCCATCATGAGATTAATGAATAAATAAAATGTGGTACATGTGTGTTGTGGAATATTATTCAGCCATGAAAAAGAATGAAATATACTGAACATTCTATAATGAGGATAAAGCTTAAAAAATATTAAAAAAAAAAAATAAGCTAGACATAAAATAACAATTGTGTATGAGCCTCATATGTACCTAGAATAAACAAATTCACAATGAAACTAGGTTAGAGGTGAAAGAGAATGAGAAGTTATCACTTAATGGTCTGTCTTCAGGGTAACAAAAAAAGTCTGGAAATCAAGAGGTGCAGTGAGCAAAATACCTTATATGATACACTTAAAAGAGTTACAGTGACACTGAATGTTATATATGTACTTACAAATATCTATAGGTAAGCTAAAATAGACACATGATAGATGCATAGATGATAAACACATGATACATACAGATCACATGATACATATATAGACAGATGATGGATAGATGACAGATGCACAATTTGAAGTCATTGCCAAAGGAAAAAATTAAAACCACCCACTTCTCACTGTACTTAAAAATGTATGAAATCCTTAGTAAGAGCCACATACCCTATGACCTCTCTGACCCCACCTCACACCCTTGCACTTGGCTCAGGACACTATCTCTAACAGGTTGTATTTTCCTTGTTCAAACACACCACCCGCCTTGGTGTCTGGGGCTCTGACCTTCCCTGGAATACTCTTCTGGAGAACTGTTCAAGAGGAAGGCAACCATCCATCTAAAGTAAGCTGCGTCCCTCATCCTGTTCGGTGCCACCTCCTTTTATTTCCTTAGAGCATTTATCAGAAACAAACCTGGCTCTTTCTTCGCCATCTTCCTCAGTTGTCTAAAACACAGGCTCGTAAGTGCCAGGACTGTAATTGCTTGGTCAGTCCACCTTCCCTGAGGCTACTGTATGAGCTGGCATACAGTAGGGGGTACATAAAATATTACGTGCTTGCTATTGGGGAAAGCTTTGAAGAGGGTGGCTACCTCGGCTAGTATTACAACTGTTGTCTTCTGCTAAAGCATGGGGTATGCAGGAGCTCTCTACTGTCAGTCATATGAGGAAAGTTGTTTCCCATGAATGTTACTGAGGAAAGCCATTGCCTCTAAAACTAATAATGCCACCGTAGAGCACAGATACTCAAGTAGCAGAGTAAAATTCCAGAAAAAAAAAAAAAGCAACTGTGAAACAGTATAACAAATGGCTGCAATTCAACTCTGAATGCAGTGGGAAAGCACAAAGTAATCACAGGCAGCAGATACCATCCTGACCAGGCTGCTCAGGCACGCCATCCGTCCACTCAGCCCGTGCCCCCATAGGGCTGTACTGCCATCACATCCACATACACTACGTCTTAAGTTGCATAAAATAGTTTTGAAAAACTATGAATATGTATTTTCCAAACAGAATACTTTGTTAGCATAATATACAGCCTACATAGGAACAGGAATACTCTGAATCCCAGTGCCCAAGACCACCAGTGCTCTGGAGAGTTTCCCTGCCTGCTGATGAAGAGGAAAACACTTGGTAAATGTCTGAAAAAACTTCAGCATGGAGAAACCCTGGAAAATGGCACTTCTGCCACCCCCAATCCTTATGAAGAGACTGTAATCTTAGAGGGGGAAACTGAGACAGGGCAGAAAGGGAAAAGGGGACATGGACGGGAAGGAGCCCCTCACTTCCAGGCTCTGCTTTAAGTCTCTGACCAAGAGTTTCCAAACCAGCTGCCAAGGAATATAACCCCCTCTCTGGGAAAATCTCACAAAATTATGAATGACCTCCAGTAGAAAGAATTCCTTTGACCCTTTTGACCTATTTTATCAGCCTACAAACCCAAACAACACACCTTGTAAACCACCTTATGAACTCATATAGTGAATAAAAGTTCTTCAGGTAAAAATAAGTATCCCAGGCCAGGCCTGGTGGCGCACACCTTTAATCCCAGCATTCAGGAGGGAAAGGCAAGCAAATGTCTTTTAGAGACCTGCCTGGTCTACATAGTAAGTTCCAGCCCAGCTGGGGTTACATAGTGAAACCTTATCTCAAAAATAATAAATAAATAAATAAACCAAAATATTTTTATTTAATAAATCCTTTGAGCAATGTAACTTCAAAAGCCACCAACATTACATATGTAGCTACTGTTAAAGACACTTAACAGCAACTCTCTAAGCTGGGACCCACCATGTGTGTATTACTCTTTTCTTGAGTGTGTGTCTCTCTCAATGCTCACACTTGAATCTTTACTAAAGTGTTTTCTCATTAGCTCCAATTTTGCTTTATAAAGATATGTGATCATGGCAGTTCTGTCAGTCACTTGGTTCTATTCAAAGCTCAGATTACTTTATGAGTGGGGGCTGACATTAAGAATATGTTTACACAGAGAACTTTAAGGTAAGAACGATGGGCAGTTCTCAGAAGACTAAAGACAATAATACTGTCTGTGAATAGACAAGAATGAATACCTTGTTTATTAGAGAAAAAATTGGGGTCTTGGTAAAAGTTGAGTCTGTTTTTTAAACACGTGCACAGCTGCTGCAAGCAGGACACTGACTGCAATGCCAGACGATGCTTCCCGTCTCCTCCAAAGGCGAGTTTCAGGAGAGACAAGAGGCTCTGAAACACAAGAGTGACCATGGTTAAGGGAACAAAGTCCTCAGCTTCAAAGATGGAGTGGAGCCGGGCTTGGTGGCGCACATCTGTAATCCCAGCACTCAAAAGGCAGAGGCAGGAGGATAGCCACAAGCTTCAGGCCAGCAAGCTAGTCGGTCTATATAGCAAATTCCAGGGTAGCCGAGGCTACATAACAAGACCTAGTTAAAAAAATATTAAGCAACATTCAAAAACAAAACAGGATGTGGCACTAATGTAAGGAAAGGCAAATGAGGAAAAGAAAAGTAACAAATTTTGATAAAATGTGAGAAATCAGGAGCAGTGACATGGCTCAGCAGGTAAAGGTGATTGCTATACAAGCCTGACAACCTGAGTTTGACACCTAGAAATCACATAAAGGTAGAAGAAGAAAATCAATTTCACAGAATTGCCCTCTGATTTCCACACATGGCCAAAGCACACATGCTCATATACATAGACATCATGTACATGTGCACGATAATAATAAATAACTTTTTAAAAACTAAAGAAGCAGACACAGAAAAACAACAGCAAGATACAAAAAAGTCAAAATCAGGTAACAAAAGGTAGGAAAGTCAACAGTGCCACCTGCCCGTTCTGTTACCAGCCGCTCAGCTACTGAGGCAGGATGGTCACTGGAGCCCACAACTTTGAGACCAGACTGGGCAACTCTCACTTAGGCTGTGTCAACTTGACACAAATTAGAGTCATCAGGGAAGAGAGGAAGCTCAGCTAGAGGCTGCCGCCATCAGACTGGCCTCTGGACATGCCTTTGAGGCATTTTCTGAGTGACAGAGGAGAGCCCAGCTCACTGAGGGCAGTGCCATCCCTGGGCAGGTGGACCTGGGCTGTATAATAGTTAGTGAGCAAGCCAAGGGGAGTGAGCGGAGTTCCTCCGTGATCTCTGCTCCATGGCTGCCTCAGCTCCTGCTTGAGTTCCTGTCTTGTCTTTCCTAACTGACGGGTGATGACCAGGACATGTAAGACAAATAAACCCTTTCTTCCCCAAGTTGCTTTTGGTCATAGTGTTTATTCACAGCAACAGGAAAGCAAATTGGGGCAGCAACATAGCAAGACTCAATCTCAACAACAATTTTTAAAAGTTAACTAGGATTGGGGCTCAGCAGTTAGAAGCACTAGCTGCTCTTGCAGAAGACCCAGGTTCAGTTCCCAGCACCCACATGGTTGCTCACAATCACCTGTAATTCCAATCAGATTCCCTCTTCTGGCCTTCCACAGGTACCAGGCATTCATGTGATACACATAAAATAAAAATACACACACACACACACACACACACACACACACACACACACACACATATACACACACACGCACATATATATTTTAAAGGTAACTAAGAGGAATGTAGTGGCGCACGCCTTTAATCCCAACACTGGGAGGCAGAAGCAGGTGGATCTCTGTGAGTTCAAGGTCAGTCTGGTCTATAGGGAGATCCTGTCTCAAAAAAAAAAAAAAAAACTAAAATAGTGTTTCTTATTTCTAATGTCTGTTAAACACCTCTTCTGAGAGAAGGCAAGGGTTATTCCTTATTCACAGAATACTTAAAAAAAAAAAATCACACAAGTCCTTTCACCTCAAACATCTGAATCATTTTACAGGCTTCTGTAATTAACAGCTTTTCCTCTGTTGTCCTTTGCCAGCTAGGAGAGCAAGTGAGAATCATTCGGTACTGGTGGAGGTTGTGGATGTGTCACAATTCCCCACCTTGGACTTCTCTCTACTAGAGAAGCAACAGACTACACAAAGGGAAAACCTCATCAGTACCGCTCACTGATAATATACTTCTCCAGCATTATGCCCTACACATAAAAGATACTAAAATGTGGTATCATTCTTCTTGTTAAAGGTTACTGCTGTCCAACCTTAATTTCTAAAGTTTATTCTCCCAATTCAACTAATCATAAACAGGGCTGACGAGATGACTTAGTGAGTAAAGGCATTTACTACCTAACCTGGCAGCCTGAGTTAGATCTTCAGAACCCATGTAGAGATGGAAGAAGAGAAATGACTCCATAAAGTCATCCTCTGACCTACACATACAACACACACACACACACACACACACACACACACACACACACACAAGACATACATGCTCACAAACATGATAAGTTTAGAAATTTAAATTTAAAAAAATTATCCATAAATGATAATTGCAGAGAGATGGACCCGACAGAAGGTACTAAATGAAATGTAACTATAGAAAAAAAAAATAGAAAGTGGCTTAAATAACTAAACATTTTATTTTTTACATATGCTAATATAAATTTTCTTCTGAAGGACTCTTTACTAAATTTGTGGTAACATAAAGTGTTCTCTGTTTCAAAACCTAAAACAATTACAGAAGATACTCACCTGAACAATTTTTGGCCTTTGAAGAAAAATCTCCGCAGGGAAGTCTTGCATGATGACATCCTTCAGAAGCTCACAGATGTTCCAGATCAGCCTGTGGTCACTGCTGCTCAGAGAACTAAGACAACAGTGCTCCATGTTAGAGAGCCTGCCTGTACCTGCTGGCATAACGACTGTGGTAACAACCTTAGATCCTGGCACAGACATCACTTTCCCTGCAAATTCCTCCTTTGTTCCCTAGTCGATGAACAACTCTGAGGAGGTGACTGCTTACTGCCTTTGCATCCTCCACTAGCCCATCTTCAAGAACAGGAGCTAGACCATCTCACCCATTGCAGACTACCATAAAGCTACCAAACTAATTGAGTTCAAAGACAAAGACTACAATTTTTTAAACAAGAAAAAATAGCAGCCAGTGTAGAGGTAATTTCTGGGGACTGGGTCCATCAGTCATCTTCCCTATGCTAGGTGATTAGGATAGAACTCCCCTTATCCCAGTAGACACCCCTCAGCTTCTGCTGGAGGGATAGTTCAGCAGTTAAGAAGGTGTATTGGTCTTGCAAAGGACCCAAGCTTGGTTCCCAACCCAGGTGGGGCTGTTCACAACCACCTATAACTCTAGCACCCAGGTATAGGACACCCTCTTATGGTCTCTGCAGGCACCTGTACTCACATGTGCACAGACCCACACACAGACACATAATTAAAAACAAATCTTTAAAAAATACACTCTGAGGGCTGGAGAGATGGCTCAGCAGTTAAGAACACTGGCTGTTCTTGCAGAAGACCCGGGTTCAAATCCCAGCACCCACATGGCAGCTAACAACTGTCCATAATTCCAGTTCCAGGGAATCCAACAGCCTCTCTGTCCTCTGCAGCCTACATGCAGGCAATACACACATACACATAAAAATAATAAAATATTTTTAAAAATAAAAAATACACTCTTCAAAGTGTTATACATCAATCAACCCTCTACTTTGGAAGGTAATAACAAATTAATATCCATTACATAAGATCAGAGTAATTATTTCCAACTTTCTCAACATGGTTAAGTTTTTCTCCTAAAGGAGCCCATGTTTTAAAACACATTCTACCTAAAAGACTACATTTGCATTTAATTTTTCCACTTTTATTAATGAAAGGCACAGGCAACAGCCAATCAAAAAATCTAGTCAATAAGAGATAATATATCATGAAGGACTCCATAAGATTCCAATGACAAAAAGAATCTGGATGTGAGGCAGACCTGGTGCTGCATGCATGTCATTTCGGCACATAGGAGGTGCAGGGTGGAGGCAGGACCATCTGGAGTTCAGGGTATCTATGGCTACATATTGAGTTTGAGGCCAGCCAAAGGAGAGAGGGAGGGAGGGAGGGAGGGAGGGAGGGAAGGAGAGAGGCAGGGGCGGAGGGAGCAGGGGAGTGGAGGGAAGGGAAGGGAGAATTAATTTTCCAGGTCTACCTTTGGAAGCACTGATATCAAATTCAAGTTAGGTTATAGAGGGAAGGTACTAGATGTGTAGATTAATTAAAGCCACTGACATAAAGCAACTTTCTGGCTTGCTTTTTCTAAATAGTGAAAATTGTTTATATAGACCCCTTACTACTTTTCACACTTTTCCACATTTGTTATCTTTTCAAGTGAAAATGTACAGTAATAACTATCAGATGTAATGGCTAAAAAGAATCAAAACTATCTGTAATACATCAGGACTGTACCTTTCACTGGAGGAGAGAACATGTCTGTCTGTTGTGGTCAGGGGTAGCCAAGGGAATATTGAAAACTTCAAGCACTTCACAGTCTGATTTACTGTTAATGGAAGAGCAAATCTTAAGATGTCAAAAAATCTGGGAGGTTTTACCTTTAAAGTTAGTCTCAAATAAAGGTTTCCTCTTACAACAACCCAAAGTATTCCAAACAATGTCAGCTGCAAATGTGTTCTCTCACAGTATAAATAACAGATGTCTATTTTCATAATTTAAACAGAACTCATTAAAACAGGGATTAGAAGAAGAGTAGTAAACACAAACTAATACTGAGTGAAATTTAATGTTTCAATTAAGTTTTCCATTTTTACCCTGAGGCTGACCAGAACACGGAGCTTAAATCTAGCACATAAGGATCTGTCATTTGTAGAAAACGCTCACTTGCCAAATTTAAAATACAAACATAATCATAGACCATACTGAGACACATTCAAATATTCTATCTGGTGTTAAATGCTTAAACCTCTTAAATCAAGATGGCTTAAAGGCCAGAAGGTTTGAGACCAAGTATCAGTGCTCAAACAAGAGCAAAATAAATCTGAGCAATCAAGCCAGTTTTAAACTACCCCATTCAAATTATTTCTTAGATCTAAGTTAAAAGGGCAACACTGAAAAATGGTACCTATGCAAAGAAGCCCTTCCCACTGCACAAATAATATCATGATCAAATTGTCTGAAAAGAACACGGAACTGTTAAATGCAGAAAATATCACTAAATTCCTTACTTTTCCAGAGACAGAAAGTATGGCATTTTATAAAGTTTTAGAAGCTTTCTGTTCTCTTAGACTATTATTCAGCCTCTAAGATGCCATGAAATCTTTTTAATAACAGAGGGCTTCCAAATTAAGTTTATATTTCAGTCCTTGACATCAGCAGCTATTCTCTTGAATATATCTTTTTATCTCCACTACAACAGCAGTAAGATGTCAAGATGTGCTAAGTTAACCATTTCCCGTCACCCAGGATAAATTTTTCAAATTTTCAACTTTTCTAAGGTTCAGTGTCTTCCCTGGTAAAATGGGGACACTGATAAAAACATCTCACTGTAGCTCAGTAAAGATTCATTCATTCATTCTTCAAAGAGTCCACACTGAGCACCTAACACAATTCTGGCATTGTTTCAGATACCACAGACAGAACAGTTTTCATGGGTATTATTACACCAGGAGGGATATAAGAGGTGAATGCATGCATCATCTCATAATATGAAAGGGTTAGGAAGAAAACAAAGCAAAAACTAGCAAGAACCATCAGGAAGGGCTCACGATAGTGCCCAAGATGACAGTGCTCAAGAACACAAACCAGACATAGGACATCCTGACACACAGGGTCCTGGGGAACCTAAGGTGACTCTGCGAGGGCTGGTGGGATGGCACAGAGAGTTAAGCACCTGCCTCCCCAATCCTGAAAACCTACATCCAATCCCTGGGACCCATATGGTAAGAGAGAACTGACTCCCGCAAGTTATCCTCTGACTTCCACTAGTATGTCACGGTATACGCATCCATATGTGCTAGTGCGCACATGCAATAAATAAGGTAATATAGTTAAAAAAAAAAAAAAAAAAAAAAGACCCAGAGTCTGTAGCTGCAGAAACTGGATAGATGGTGACATTTTATGAGCTGGAGAATAGATGAGACCACCCATGTAAAGCACATGGCACAATACTTGACAAGAACTTGTGTTCAACAGGCAGAGTCCTAGCCACATTAACATCACCGACCTACAGTAGCTCAAATAGTTAGAATACCGTAAAACTATGCCACATAGGCTTCAAATCCTAAACTAATTCAAAGCAACTGAAACATTTAACATTTAATTTGGTGCTAAAACATCCTACACATACGCACCCACTGGTCCCAGGGGTACATTCATCTGCTGGAAGTTACTTTTGTCTTGGGGAAAATATCCTGTTAAGACTTCAGGCTGCTGTGACAAGTCTAAAAAGAAAATACATTAATTACTGTGTTATTAACTCACTTGCTAAAGGAGAAAATGACTCCTTTTAAATTGTATTTTCTCTTAAATCTTTCAAGTATTATTAAAACTAAAAAAATACAAACAAAAAAATGGATTTAGTTTTTTCTCTGAACACTGTATCTTCCTAACAAGAAAAAAAAATGACTATTAAGCCAAATTCCAACTAAAGTAGTTTTTCCTCTTTTGCTGTTAGGAATACAATTACTTATTACTATTACAATGAAAATATCCACCATGTATATGAAGAATCTAAAATGACCCACCTGTACTTCTTAGTCTACTTCCTTTCTCTTTACTGTTCAAATTTTATAGTTACTTTAGTTTTCATTAATACCCTTAAAAGAATTATCAAAAACAGGGGCTGGAGAGATGGCTCAGCGGTTAAGAGCACTGACTGCTCCTGCAGAGGACCTGGGTTCGATTCCCAGCACCCACATGGCAGCTACGAACCATCCTTAACTCCAGTTCCAGGGGAATCCAAAGCCCTCTTCTGAACTCCGCAGGATTGCACGATACGGGTGCACTCACATACATGCAGGCAATACACTCATACACATAAATTTTTTTTAAAAAAATTAATTAAAAAAATATTTTAAAAAAAGAAAAGAAATTGTCAAAAACAAAGGAGTCATGAGCTGGTGGGATGGCTCACCTGGTGAATGCACTTGCCACCAAGCCTGACAACCTAATTTAATCTCTAGGAGTGACATGGTGGAAAGAGGGAACTGACTCCCACACATTGTCCTCTGACCTCCACATACAATGCCATGGCATGTGCATATCTACATACATACACCCACATACATATATACATACATACATAAATGTATTTTTAAAAAATTTAAAATACAGAGAACAGGAATCATTGAAATTGATACCAGGAAAATCTTTACGAGTTTGATCAATCTGGTGAGTGGCAGAGCACAGGGCAGGAACTTCTGAAGGAAGGATGAAAAGTCCATCAAGAATACCATCAACTTCAGCCTGTAGAGCTGGCTCCACATTAAGACGAAGCTTAGATAAGAACTCAACTGCACCAAGGTCAATCAGGTGCTGGACTGCTGGGGGATACTAAAGTAAGAGAACCGTCTTCAGAATAGCCATAAACTTCACTTCATCACAATCAAAATAGAAAAGTTACTTTGATATATCAAACACTCCATGTTTCAAAAAACCAAATCCTCCATTGCTATGCTCTAAACAACTTCCATGAATCAAACATTAGGTTAAACAGACAAACAGAAGAGAAAGGAACCAAGACACAGAACACTAGAAATACACATTACCAATTCCTCTATCTTTAAATGTTTTTGTTATGTGGTCAGCATAGCAAAAGGGTTTCATTATGATACTTTAACATATATTTCTCATTGTACTTCTACTTTTGCCCACTTACCTTCCCTTCTGCCCCCCATCTCCCTTCTGCTTTCATGTCTTTTAAGGGAAGTTGCTTTTCTCCACTGACACTTCATTATCCTATCCTTACCCTTAATCAACAGGTTGCCAAAATATTTAGAATCCCCCCATGAAGGTAGCCATTTAACCATCTGACCGAATTTATATTTCGACATTTGAGTCTGACAACTAAATTATTCTTGAAGTAGGCAGAGAAACACATTTTTAAAAACATGAAAAAGCAATATGTGCACTGTTTATTAAACACTAACACTTTCAACTGTGTTATTTTAAATACTGACATCTAATTTTAACATGGAAATATCAATAAAAGACAAACTGACTGGCAAATAGTCACCTCTAAAGATGATTTCAGAACTCAGAAGTCGTTCTGTTCCAGTTCAGGACACAGTACAGACAACATGACAAAAGGGATGAGAAGCACCTACCCAGATGAATTAAAAGCCAACATATTTATTGTCTTCAAAATTCTTTTAAAACCCGTATATCTTTTCATAAATGTTACAATTAATTGACTAAAAACAAAAACACTGATTGCTGTTTTCAAGACCATGTTACCTTAATCAATCTGTTTAACAGGTTTAAAACCTCCTCTTTCATTGGGACGTCTGGGAAATTGAACCATTCCAGCAAATGGAAAAAAAGCAACCTTTCCTGAATTAGATCAGCATAGCAGATCAAGTTGTGCTCAATCTTGCACAGGATACTTTTGAGAGCGCGCTCCCTGATCTCCGCCAGCTGATGACCTGTCAAAGAAGTTGACACAAATTAATTTTATTTCCCAGCTTCAAAAAGACGGCCCACCCAGAATTGATTCTAAAACTTGGGGATCTTCTCTGGAGACAAGGCAGAGTGAAAGTGATCCGCCCAGGGTTTGGGAGGAAGGCCGCCGCGGAGTTCGCACAGTGAGCCCGGACAGTGCGGCTGCCCTGGCCAGGCGGGAACAAGAGGGGGCCGTGACCGCGGGACTCCGCATCACCAAGTCATGACCAGAGGGCACCTCCGACCCAGGCAATGCAAACTGTTACCGAGCTTCCTGATGAGCCCAGTCAAAACCATCTCGTCACCACAATCTGCCGCGGCCACCGGAGAATTAAACAGTCGCGCCACAGCGTCGGTTCTCAATTAAAGTCCCCCGGAAACTCAGCCGACCGGACGATAGGTTCCGCAACGCCAAAGCTTAGACACCTCATGAGTGAAGGGCATTATGTGAAATGTCCCCGATGTCCACGTTACCATACAAGTTTGTATCACTACTACTCATTCCCTAGACGGCAGTCTCTGCCTTAGGAAACCGAATAAATGAAGGAGTCAAGCAGGGGTAGGACCCATTTCGGTCCAGGTGTACGTCGGGAATTGTAGTCCTGGCTCAGCCGTGCTCAGCGCGGTGAGTTCCGGACACCCGCCGGATCGCCCTTCTCCCCAGAGTTCCGGATTCTAAGCGCGGGCTCTGAAGCGGGCTTGAGGCCCTGGCAGTAGCCCAATGCGCAGGTACTTTTCCCTCCCTCTGTGACGGATTTGTTCAGGACCTAGCCAAGCTGAATACTCAGCTTCCAGAAGTTTACAGTTTACAATGAAGGTCTGGGTTTTGTTCTGTGAAGTTGCCCTCTCCCGGATTATTAAATGACTCCTTGCTTGTGTAATGTAACTGCAAAGTCTTGCAATGTTTCGAGTATATAACTCTAGATATAACAAGTCAGCCACAAAAAGGACTAGGGGAAGAATTAAGAGAAAGGAAGAGAAAAGGGGAACTAAAAGGGAGTCAGGCAGGGAGGATATGTTAGTTTGACTGCTCTCCAAGAATATCTTGCACTGTGATCAGTCTCAACAAATAGAAAATTATGAACTATGGCAAGAGCAGCGACAAAATTGAATTTATAAAATGATTTGCATTTTAGAGAGTATTTTACTGTATTGATCTTTGGAATTTCCCTAGGGAAGGGATGTCAAGATAGATATCCCTAGATATTCTTATTTTACAAAAAGAAACTTAAATCAGAGAAGTACCCATCCAAGGTCACACCAAATAGTGGCTGATAAGGAAGTAGCTTTATGTTTCTGGTTCCCATTATTGGAACACTACTGCTTTTGTGTGTAGATAAAAGAGTGAAACTTGAGTTGGCTCTTGGAAGAGTAAGTAGAAAATTTACTAAGCCAAAAAATAGGGTAGGGGAATTCCTATTGGAAAAAACAGTAGTATTACAAGGAAAGGGATTCATGAGGAGTATGTCAGATCCAAAGAAAGTGAGGAATTCAATGTGACCAATTTATCTCAGTCAAGAAAGTTTCGTTGCTAGCTTTCTGAATATTTTCTATTTGGCCTTCCAGTACTTACTTCCTCCAGGCTCTTACAACCCCACAACAGTCAACCTGTACTGATGAAAGCACCAAGCACCGCACCCTCTATCTCTTGGCCCTCTAGCTTCTAATCAGTTGTGGCCAATGGGACAATTGTGCAAAAGCAGTTGTGTCTTTAATAAAGATGCCACTAGGCTGTGCCTAAAAATTACATGGCCAAGATTTAACAGTGGCTGCCTTCCTCCACATCTGGACCAGTACCCCTCATGGATAATGTGCCAAGTGGACCAAAGAGTAAAGATTTTGGAGGCCATTATACTGGCTCAAAACTAGGCTGTAAGCCCAGGCATGAAAGATTTAGTTGTGAATTAGAACAAAATACACATGACCATATAAGAAATAATGAAAATTGCTTTTCAATGACATTTCTGCAAGCAGGTCTTAGACAATGGGAGTATGGATGCAGTGGGTAGAGGATGATAATACTGTGGGGAAAAAAGAAATGAAAGCATGTTCCCTTCCCCCATTCTGGAGATCTAACTATGGGAAGGTCTTATTTATGCTGTACTTCAATATGAACAATTTACTTTCCAAATTTTGTTGTTATTGTTGCTTATATACAGGTACAGATAAGGTTATCCCTTCTCCAAAATGATTGCAAGCAAAACCGCTTTATATTTTGGAATTTTTTTTCAGACTTTTTGATGTTTATCTATACTTAATCAGACACTTTGGGCATGGGACCCAAGTCTAGACAGAAAATTCATTTGTTTAATATATACCTTCTAAGCATGATCTAAAGGTAATTTCAAACATTTTAGATTTATTTTTATTTTATATCTATGAGTGTTTTGCCTGCATGTACATAAACGCACCATATGCTGGCAGCGTCTGCAGAGGCCGGAAGAGCGTGTCGGATCCCCTGGAACTGTAGTTACAGACCATTGTTAGCTGCCATATGGGTGCTGGAAACAAAACCTGGGTCCTCTTGAAGAGCAGCCAGTGCTCTCAACCACAGAGCCATCTCTTCAGGCCCAATTTTATACATTTTTAAATAAATTTTTACATGAAACAAAATTTATAATGTAGAATTTTTCACTTGTAATACAATTTTCCTACTCAAAATTTTTAGATTTGGGGGAATTTTGGATTTCTGATTTTTGGATTAAGGATATTCATACAGAATGGCTTTCATACTTAAGCAAAATGCATTAAGTGCTACTTATTATATTCAAAGCAAATAAATTTGTCATTTTCTTATTGGACTAAGTATTAATCTGGCAATCTTCCCTCAAATACTCAACCTTAAGTTTATTAATTTTTTGTTTAAAAATGATCACAAATAGAACAAACTCTTCCTGTTCACTCTTGCAGCCAAATCCATGGGTATACCCTAGGTTGCAGAAGAGGCCGTCCTCCAGTTCCTCTCACTGTGGCCAAAAGAAGGCGTGGTTGGACCCTGTGCTGGATAGCTTTCATTGTCAGCTTACACACCTGGGTTAAGGGAGCCTCAATTTGGGAATTGCTTCCATAGGACTGGCCTGCCTGTGACCATATCTGTGGGGCATTTTCTTGATTGTTGAATAATGTGGGAGGGCCTAGCACTTGGGTGGTGCCACCCCTGGACAGGTGGTCCTGTATAAGAAAGCAAGTTGAGTGTAAGCCAGGGAAACAAGCCAGTAAGCAGTGTTCTTCCATAGTCTGTGCCCCTGGTTCCTGCCCTGAGTTCCTGCTTTGACTTCACTTGATGATGGTCTATGCTTGTAAGCTGAATAAACTTACCTTTCCTCTCCAAGTTGGTTCTGGTCAGAGTGCTTTGTCACAGCAATTGAAAAGTAAACTAGACCCTAATGAGATCAACAAATCACCAATGCCAACTCCTCTTAGCAGCTCTGAAAGCCAATTAGAGATATTATGATCATCCACAAACCTGGATCTGTATCATCTTAGACTTACCAAAAGAGCAGATATGTGTACCTTGGCAAAGGAACAGGAATGGCCAGTATCTGAATGTAAGAGAAGTTAACTGGGTCAGGAGGATGTAAACTCTGCACAGGCAGCTCAAGAATACTGCAAATCTAAAATGTATTACCAATTAGCTGACTGGGGTTCATTTGCTGAATCTAGATGGATGTCTCAAACAGGCAAAAGGTAATTTTGTCAGTGTTGGTAGCTCTGGGCCCTTACATTCTGAGGACTTATGGACCATACTCACCCAAACAGACCCAAAGACTCACAATTCTGGATCCTGAGAACTAGGCTGTGATGGCTAATCCTGGGTGTCAACTTGCCTGGATCTGGGATTAACTGAAATGAGAGAGACCTTGATTGGATCATCTGAAGCTGGAAGAGACACCCTAAAAGTGGGTGTTACCTTCCCGTGGCAGTCCATAAAAAGGCTATGGCAAAAGAGAGCGCTTGCTTTTTGGCCTTGCCTTCTCTGTCACTCGTGTGTTCATCTTGTTGCTGTAGACTGAAGACTAGCCGATCTTTTGGAATTCATCAGACCTTCAGCACTAGATTGGGACTACTGAGACATCCAGCCTGGTGGACTGAGTGACTACCGGATTCTCAGCCTCTCCATTGTGGTGCAGCCATTGTTTGACTACTTGGACTTAAGGGGGACATCCTTCTGCATCCTACATTTACATTAATTGGAATCATAATTTATTTATGAAAACAACACATAAACTAGAAAACAGGAATTCCTAAACAAAAAAGACTCAAACCAACAGATGTGTAGAAGTTATCTATAATCCCTGGGGCAAGCTTATGTCTGTATGTCTTCCAGAAAAGTCATCCAGATGCCAGCCTGCCTTATTTAAGAATGAAGGTCATGATTTATTAATAATACTGATCTTTGAGAAGGAAAAAATGGTTGAGGCCTGCGGTTTCATCCCCCACTTATGAATTCTCCAAATCCAGCACCATAACTTCATGTAATGAAATCATATAATATTTAATTTTTAAACGGATCATGAAATTATAATTTATCTTCCCAATACAAAAATAGAAAGTTGATAAATATTTTATACCATTTTAAAGTGGAAGGATTGAAAGAAAATATGTCTACTTTCCATTTCAAACAGCAGAGCAACATGAATTTGAGCCCTACTTTCTTTGCGCGGTTAATAAATAAGCTTTGTAATTATAGAAATCTAGAAATAAACATAATATAATCAATTGACAATTCCAACCAGTGTGTTAGGATGATTTTGGGGGAAAGAGTAGTGTTTTCAGCAAATAAGATAACTAGGAAAAGAATGAATTCGTAGTCACACTTTACACCATGTATATAATTAACCCAAAATGTGCCAAAGATCTAAATGTGTGAGCTGAACTATAAAATTCTCAGAAAAAAAATGGATATACAACTTTATGATTGTGTAGGCAGGAAATGACTTCTTGGAAATGATATAAGAATCAACCAAGATGAATAGCCTCAATGTTTAAAATTTTTTGCTTCTAGGGACATTATCAAGAAAATGCAAAGACAGTCCACAGAGTAGTAGAAAATATTTGTAAATCATAACTCTAACAACTTAACTGCCCAGGATTTTTAATTTTTATTCTATTTATTATTAATGTGTGTGATCTGTGTGAATGATGTGTGTATCTGATGTGTGTGTGTGTGAGCACAGGTGTATGCATGACATAGCCCATGTGTGGAGGTTAGAAGACAACTGTGGGAGTGTCTCCTTCCACCTTTGTATGGTTTCCATGGATTCAACTCAAGTTATCAATATTGCATGAATTACTCTTACCACTGAGCCATCTTTCCTGCCTTCTAGTATATATTTAATTTTTAAAAT